AGCTGGGAAAAGTATCCTTCTCAAAAAAAATTGGAAAAAGTATCCGGTGCACCTATAATTACTCCCAAGAAAATTTTCATGTATCTTTTTTTTGCAGGGACACACATCATGTATCTGCATCACACAAGATTTCAAATCTAAATGTACCAGACAACTCCAGAAACAGAAAAGAGAAATCTGGCACTGGATAGTGTCTATCTCGTGCCCTTTTTTATTCAAAAGATTCCAGAGGATTTTTTGGAGGTTATGATCCTTACAATTTTTCTCTACGAGGAGCATTTGTTTCGTAAGATTGCAAAGACAGAATTCATCTGCACTAAATTTTATTGGAACCATTCATCCATTCCAACATCTTATGGCCTTTTTTATTTGCATGATTACAAATCGCATGAATGAAAAAACACTATTGCAATGTTGTGCATATTTGTTTTTTACATGTTTTTTTCCTAAATTGGTTGTACCTCGGGAAAAGGGACTCGTTCAATGAAGTTTGAGTGGGCAATTTTCTTCTGTGAAATCTAGTGCAAAAGGAATCATCATAGACATATATTGATTAGATCTTACAAATCAAACAACCCATGTAGGAAAATTACAATGGATTCCTATCCTCCAATTTTTCTATTAAAATCTTGAAGCGATCAAATATAATTTATTCGAGATGTGACACTCGTTCATGCTAAAAAAATGAGTGCCTCATTGTTGATCAGGAAGTTAGGTTTTAACCTGAAAGTTGGCCAAAAAAACTCACATCATGCTAAATATTATTGAACGCATCTCGATAAGAAATTACTCCCTCTGATTGGAAAAAAAGTCACAACTTTGAACTAAGGTTCGTCAACCTTAGTTCAAAAAATGCGACACTTTTTTTTATCGAGAGAGTGTTAGAGTACATAAGCAAACATGGGGAAGCTACACCTAGGTTGGTTTAGCCAAAGCCCCACCCTCACTCTAATCATGCCTTTTGAGGATTCATGTGTATCAAAAGGTTGTCCGATTATGTTGTTGATTCCACCAATACATTGTCAATAGTAGATCCTCTTTTAGGTTGGTTCTGTTTAATTTCTCCCTTTTACACCCCCAATAAATATAAAGTCAACCTACACAAATGATACATCGGTCGACTCTTAGTCTTACCACATACGATGATTTGCTAGTGTGGAGGGGAGAGGAGGAGAGATGTCAATAGAAATAGTTGTTGGTTAACAGTTGAACTAAGAGTCAAAGGAGTCAATCCGAATTACAATTTGTTCCCGTAGAGGTTATCTCATATATTCTCTCGTGTCATCCTTTTTATTATTATCTCCGTTCGGAAATTTGAACTAAAATCACGTTAGTTATTCCCAAACGGAGAGAGTATTAACTTCGGATGACACGAGAGTTATAAGAGTCAAATACTAAATTCTCGTATCTAGATTGTCTAAAGCAAGTATCATCTATCTAGATACATATGGAAGAATAAAAAAATTGAAGTGAATAATTAATGAAAGATTATGTTTTCAGATGAAATATGGCCTAAATTTATTAGGATGCAAATGAAAAGATTCAAATTTCGAAAGAAAGGTGGCCTAAGGTTATTATATGATGAAGAAAAAGGCACCTAGCAACCCAATGAAGAGGGAGTTTCCAGCCGTCCTCTTCAAAAGGAACGGCCCAGATCGCCCCACGTTCTCCCCGTCGTCCTTCCGAAACGCCTAGAGCTCCACCTATTGCTCCACTCGACCAATCTGCGTCTAGAGCAGCCAGAATCACCTCGAAATGCCTCCATGGCGGTTCCGATCTGGCGGCCTCGCCTGCGCGATGGCTATCGCGGTGGCAACGGCGGCCGCGGCATCCGTGGGAGTGGCCGCCGGATTAGGGGACGGCGAGGCGGAGTTCGACTACCGGAAGCTCTCCGGGATAATAATCCCGGGATTCGCGTCGACGCAGCTGCGGGCGTGGTCGGTGCTGGACTGCCCCTACTCGCCGTTCGACTTCAACCCCCTGGACTCCGTCTGGCTCGACTCCACCAAGGTCGAGATCCCTCTGCTGCACCGCCCGAAATATCCGATTACTGTGCTCGTTTTGGCCATTTCTGTTGTTTGGGGATTATTATTGTGCGTATCTGTTCTCCCAGCTGGTCCATAGACTTAGAACAATCTGTGCTGATTCAGGCACCTGCTTTTTTTTGGCCAGTTACACTCGGGAACAGCTTCTGTTGGCCTAAAGTTGTTAGCCCGTAACATCCTTTCCAAACTTAGCTTTCAGGTTTGTTGGTGGACAGTGAAGTAGGCAGCCGATTTGAACCTTTCCAGTGGTTCTTGTCTGGCTTCAGTTGTGCATAGGATGAATTTGACGGTATACTTGTGAGAAAATTACAGTTACTAGTAGTAGTTTGTTGTTAATTTCGAAACACCGTGACCAGTAGTTGTACATTTAATAATTCGTTGCGTGGGTATCTCTGCGTATATCATGCAATTCCCACCAGCAAACAACGGGGCGCTAAGATCGATCATATGGAAGCCCTGGGCGCCGGGGAAGATGAAGCTCTTCTCTTGGCTACTGCATCTCAACCGGCTGTGGTGCAATGACCGGCTGCAGCATCGCAGCTGGGAAATGGGTATTTCTGCCAGCCCTGTTTAAGGAACCTCGAGTCTTCCTACCATCTGTTTTGGGAGTGCACATTGTCCTTGCAAGTTTGGACTCAGGCGTCGACCTGGAAGGGCGCAACTGGGAGGCTGCGGGCTGCACCACAACCAGGGTTCAGGATCTCATCCGCCGCGCGGCGCCGGGACAGGAGAGAAAAGCCATCAAATCAATCATCATCCTAATCACTTGGGAAATCCGGCAAGAACGAAGTGGATGCACTTTCAGGGGAAAGATGGCCTGCACGGCTGATATCCTTGGCAGAATCAGGGCTAATTTGGATTTGTGGCGTCTGGCAGGGACTAAGAGCCCAGAGCATCCCTTCTGGGACCAAATTGGGAAATAGAGGCAGTTGTTTCTTAGTGGTGTTGTTGTATCTTTTTCTTTCCTCCATATGATCACTTGATCAAACAATGTTTTCCGCTCTCTTCTGCTAAATCAATGAATGCCAGCAGCATGCTGGATCTTTCAAAGAAAACATTTAATAATTTGTTTACCGCTCGGGATTTCATCCTCACCTCCTAAATTTGAAAAGACGCAGCACTATATGTGACCATTCCCATGATCACATGGCAAGCCCTTGTCTGGCCAAACTAGCCTTCGGTCTTACAATGATGTCTAACATGTTCAAAGAAAGTGTACTGTACTCTGTAGAGGACCAGATGGTACTTTGCTCCACATAGATCCTTATGTACTTGATAGGTTGCTCCCATGAATATTTGATCAATTTGCTATGTCTAATTTGGTTTGTTCAATATGGTGCAGCTTTTCTCTGCTGTAAATTGCTGGCTTAAGTGCATGCTGCTTGACCCTTATAACCAGACGGACCATCCAGAATGCAAGTCAAGGCCAGATAGTGGTCTTTCTGCGATTACAGAGTTGGACCCTGGTTATATAACAGGTAAACTCTATACCTTAGATATTTTCTAGTACTGGTTTCATATTATGTAGCACTTGATCATCTGTAGTGTGATCTTCTATTATCTTTGACATTCCATTACTTTCACAAACTTTGAGCAAAAGTGACCAAAATTATGAACAGCTATGGCATCCGATGATGTTGTAATTACTGGGTTGCCCAGTTGTAGTTACTAGTCAGGAAAGGATCATGTTCTTAATTCTGTTCTAAGCTTTACATTGCATAATATTTTTGATTTGCTTGCCTCATTCTCTCACAATACTTATCTTAGTGCAATGGAGAAAAACACGATCATCCATGGGTGTAACTGTTCTTGTTCAATCTAATGAAGAGCAGACGATACAGTTGACTGTTCTCAACCATTTGAAAAGAACCCATGTATTTTGTTCCTTGAATGGATGGCAACCTCCTATATTTACTTTCATTGACATAACATTCCATGGTATGAGAGAGACCCAGGCCCAACAAAAAAGATGTCCAACTAAAGCCCATGTAGAATAAGAGTAAACAGTTGGGTTTAGTTCCACCTTGCTAGTTCGGAGGGAGCTATACCAAACATATAAACCAAAATGTCAAACGTATATTAACCCTGGATTAACCCTTTTGCACAAGTGAGGAATAAAGTGTAACCGGGGTAGTGTGACAGTGTGGTTCATCCGAAGTGGGCAGGTCTAAGCATATTTAGGCTGGAATGCTACACATTTTTCCTAAGTTAGGAATTCCCCATGTTATTCCTAAAAAGAAGAAAGAAAGTATTGCCCACATTTATAATTTTCATGTTTGTTAGTATATTATCAAACCGTCCATTCTTTGTTCATGGAAAAGATAGAAAGAGCAATGTTCGATTTTTAAATGTACTCATGTGGTATTATTGACAAGGTTTCAGGTCCTCTTTCTTCAATATGGAAAGAATGGGTCAAATGGTGTGTAGACTTTGGTATTGAAGCTAATGCTATCATCGCTGTTCCATACGATTGGAGGCTACCCCCATCGATGCTTGAGGAGAGGGATCTGTACTTTCATAAATTAAAGTTAGTAAACTTAACTCATGTTGTCATATAGCAATCAATTCTCTCACTCTCAGTTCATTTTCTGGATTTCGTTTTTGTTTTAGAACACATGGCTGACAGACTGATAGTCATATATACCGTTAATGACGTTGACACCTTGCACATCTCAGCTCACCGGTAAACATTGACAAGAACACTTCTAATTTATCTAATTTAGGATGCTTACTTAATTGGCATCATGTCCATAAGTGCTGAGCATACTTCTGACGTCCGACGTGCTGCCTCATTTCAGAAATATATGTTTTTAAAACTTGCTGACAAACTGTGTTGATATATAAAACAGCTATTTAGATTGTCAGCTGAAAATGGTAGCACTAGATTTATCATGGAAGAAATTTCATTGATCATAGTATAGAATTTAAATTATCTTCACTGACGTATCCATATAAGAAGTAACTTTTAAAGACTGCATGTTGGATACCGTACTGATGTCCAAAATGTCATAAATTCATGAATATAGGGAATAGCTGTTTGCAATAACCGGCAAGAATAATGCAATGCTAGCTATCCTTAGAAGCTTCCATTCCTAAGTGATAAGCTTTCTTATGCCAATTTTTACTTAATCATGTCCCAGTTAAGTTGTTACAGAATGATTAGTTTTATGTTAGCACATACGTTATTTGTGATACAGTGACAAAAAGAAACAATTTATGAGCATTTCTGTACAATAGAAGGGTACTCACTGTTATATGTTGAGAGAGCTTGGTGTGTGATGCTTATGAGTCCTTTCTTGTGCAGATTAACTTTTGAAATTGCATTGAAACTTCGAGGAGGGCCATCTTTGGTTTTTGCTCATTCCATGGGAAACAATGTATTCCGGTACTTTTTGGAATGGTTGAAACTGGAAATTGCCCCAAAGCACTATATCCAATGGCTCGACAAACATATACATGCATACTTTGCAGTTGGTATGTTAACCAGAAATCTTAATTCATTGCCATAACTGTTTCTTTTCTTCACGCTTTCTGTTTTCTCTTTCTTTCAGGTGCCCCTCTTCTCGGATCTACTGAATCAGTCAGAGCCACTCTCTCTGGGACAACGTCTGGACTTCCAATCACTGAGGTTAGTTTTCTCTATGTATTTTATTCTATTGCCATAACTTGCCCTCTTTCAGTTACCGGTGGTTGCTGTTATATGTTTTGGGTTTCTACTTCATCCATTGGATTTACAAAGGCATGTGCGTTGTAAGATGTAAATTTTCTCTTACCAACAATTACTCCAAAAACAGACTTAGTGACACAACAATATTAACATTAGATATGTATTGAAAACACTTCCATGTGACCATGATATTGAAGTCATTAACAATATATTGTAAGAGAAATTAATGGTCAAACTTCAACTTTGGAGACCACAGTCAAGTCAAACAGTGCTTTTGAATTATGTTTTCAAGCACTTAATATATATGTTGCCTTGTCCTTCTGGTCTATCTTTTGATTTGTAGGCTTCAAAATATGGTCCTAGATATTCACTGGTGGCCTGATAGTATGTGCTGTGATTTTGTGAAGCATATATTTTATTGTGTTTTAAATTGTATAATTAAGAAGTCCAGTTGTGTCCAGAATCTATACTTGTCAGCATTGTGAACTATTGTGCATAGCTTGCCAAAAAATTCAATAGCATTATATGTCATATTGTTTACATGATTCCCATTCCTACCTTTACCATCTAAACTTCTATATTGGTTTCAGGGGACAGCCCGATTGATGTTCAATTCATTTGCTGCTTCTTTATGGCTCTTGCCATTCTCAAAATACTGCAAAGCTGATAATGTATACTGGAAGCATTTTTTTGAGGGAAAGGCCCACATCAACAGACAACAATGCGATGAGATGGAGTATAGTTCTGACAACTCTGGATGGCCCACAACCCTCGTCACTATCGAGGTTCCTACAGTTCGAGGTTCTTTATAAAGTCACTTCTGTTGTTGCAGATATTTATGTTTTTCCCCACTAAGCAGTTGCACTCCTTTTTGTCTTTACTGTTTCTCCCTTTCAGGTACGGATGCTTATCCATCCATTATGGACATAACAGAGGACATAACATCCAACATGGAGTGTGGAAAGCCAACACTCTTATCATTTTCTGCCAGAGAAGTTTCAGATGGTACTTTGTTCAAAACTATGCTGGATTATGACCCACAGAGCAAAGCCCTTATCCATCAGCTGGAGAAGTAAGTTTTAGTTTTGTGTTGTGCAGTGCTACTATACCGTAATTCAGTCTCTTCAAGAAAAAATGATGTTCATGCTTGATATTTTATTTTCAAAGAAGGTTGCTTGATATACTAACTAGTCAACCACCAAATAGAGTCTAGCTTATAACCAAAAGTAGTATATAAGACCTTGTATTTTGGTCCCTGTTGATCTCAGGTACTACCAGGGTGACCCAGTTCTCAATCCTCTCACGCCCTGGGAGAGACCCCCAATAAAGAATGTATTCTGCATATATGGCATTGATACAAAGACTGAGGTATAGTTGTGGATTCTTCTTTAGTTGTAAAAATTGTTACCCGTCGCTCATGGGTTTTCATCAAGCAGGTAGGATACTATTTTGCACCAAGTGGCAAACCATATCCAGATAATTGGATAATAACTGATGTGATTTATGAGTTTGAACAGTCCCTACTGTCAAGGCAGGTATCACTGATCTTTATTTCAAAAGTTCCGGTGCTCATCTCAGTCAAGTACCAGATGTCTATGTTTCCACATGTCTTTTTCTGTGAATTGGTTTTCCTAGATGAGTGTTTGTTTGACTACAACTTGACTTGTTTCATCTAGAGGGCCAAATGGGCCCTTCTACAGTTTTAGCTGTTTCTGACATAGAATTGCACATTTGATGATATCATTGCTACTTTGAGATATTTGTGAAGAACTGACGATATTTTAGTTTGCTTTATATTATTGACATCTATTCTGTGTTTTTATTTCTTATGAAACGTTGGGCACACTGGAGATAGAATTTGCATGCAATAGTTATTTTTTAAAGAAACTGGTAGTTTTCAGAGGTCGAATAGCACGTTTTCCTGCTTTAGTAATTAGTACTTCAGTGTCACTTATTCACTGTTAATAGCTTTTCATGCCTTTTATTTTTAACTCTTTGAGTTTCTTAGCTGTTACAAACATTCCAAGGTTTTAATTTTGGTCTTCAGAAATATTTATCTGCGCCACTTTGTAATATTATTTTTCCTTACCAGATCAGGTCATTCTTTTTCTGGAAAGCCTAACAATTCCAGTGGAGATGGAACAGTATGTATTACCAAATGCTTTTCCTACATAAAATTGATCTCATTTGGTTGAACAAATAAAATTACTCTACATTAGCAACTGAATAGCTGTTTCATGACAGGTATCCTACAACTCCCTGTCATTGTGCAAGGAATGGCTTGGGCCAAAAGTGAACATAACAAGGACTCCACAGGTATTCTACTTTCTGCCTGCTGGTATTGTTCTAAACGTGCAAACTGAAGGCCTTGGCTGTCAATATCCATGTTTTGGCTATTCAAACTGTTGTGACTATTTTCTTGTGGTATATCAGAGTGTTAATTTTCCCTTCCTAGTAAGCCCTTCGTGTTCTTTTTGCAGGCAGAACATGATGGGTCTGATTTACAAACAAGAATGAATGCTGAGCACTATCATGGTGAGGATCTATTTCCCAACATGACGAGGGCTCCACATGTAAAGTACATAACGTACTATGAGGATGCTGAAAGTATTCCAGGATGGAGAACAGCAGTCTGGGAGCTTGACAAAGGTGCAAAACTGCAATTTCTTTCCCTCATTTATTTTAAGATTTGGTTATAGTACTTCTCCTGGTACCTACTACCATGTTTTGCTACGAGGGGCTACTTTGGAAGTTTTATGCTGTCACATACTCCCTCCATCCCAAAATAAGTGACTCAACTTTGCACTAACTTTGTAATGTTTACACTTTGAGTCAGGAGTATCTGCATGTGAGTGTGGTGTTCCCATATTTTCCAGAACTTGCATCCAATCCTCTCCCATACACATACAAAAATAAACCCCTCGTTTGAACGAAACACTACTGCTGATGTTCTTTGTGAGATGACACAAGTTTTTCTTATTTTAACAGCAAATCACAGGAATATTGTTAGGATGCCAGTGGTCATGCGTGAGTTATGGCTTGAAATGTGGCATGACATGCACCCTTATTCAAAATCAAAATTCGTGACAAAAGGTTTGCTTCTTTTGTCTCTTGGAATACCAAGTTCAATTTAACTTGTCAGTACTTAACATAAGTTAAACAGCGTTCCGAGGTCCATTGAGACACGAAGATTGCCACTGGGACTATGCAAAAGCTCGGTGCGCCTTTCCAGAATTCTGTGAATACAGGTCTTTGACCCAGTTTTCTTTGCTTGCCAGTTACACTGTTTTCATCTTCGGTAACAATGGAATTTTCCTGTCACTGTAACTTAGGTACACGTTTGGTGATGTGCATCTAGGAATGAGCTGCAGGCTGAAATATTCATCAACTATGCTCCTTCGGCAGTATCTCTGAAGTATGTGGCTTTGGTGGCGTAATTATCATTTTACTCTCTTTGTTGAAAACTGCTCCTGACATGCTTTACTTGCCTATTGCAGACCATTGCTTGTTTGGTTGACTGAGTAACTCTTGATTATCACGTCCAGTGAATCATACCGGGCGTTCCTCTTTCGCTTGGCGATGGCCAGGACAAGTCAGGGGCTTAGGCCCCATCCAAAACAGGTGAAATCATGCTGTTGTCTTGTGGCTACTTTGGAGTATTTTTTTTGAAACAAGTTTTTTTTAATCTTTGGAGTTGACGTATTCTGATTGACGTGCCTCATTTTCGTAACTAATTTATGTCTGTGGTAATGATATTTTCAGGATTTTGCGGTGTTGCTTGTAACACCAAAACCTTCAGCCACGTGGGAGCCACTCGTAGCAGAATTGACTTGATCGTGTTGAAGTTTTGCCATGTGATCACACTGATGTGTACAGTAGACGATGGTTTGGCTGTTTGGGCAGCCAATTGCTGACAGTAAGAGTCCAAGAAGGTACTCCGTACTTCCATAGTACTCCCTCTATGAATATCCAGGGCTTATTTTGATTGGTTAAGACAAGGTTTGAGCAAAAATGGCCCCATCAGTATGTTATCTATTGGACATGTAAATTTTCATTAGCCAATCGAGAAATGCCAGGTCAGCTCCGATTTGCCCCCCTGGAGATCTTATGGCTACCGCTAAACATGTATTGGCTGTTGAATTGGTAAGACGCATGCTGGGTGCTTCCATGGAGCCATGTGTGGTTTATTTCTTATGAGTCGATTCTCGTGCGGTTATTTTCTTGGTTTGCATGGTTGCGCCTGCTACCACGTGACTATAAAGAGCTGCCTCGCCGTGCCATTTTCTCCCGTGGAAAGTTAATTCTCGTGCCTTTGTTGTCAATAAAGAAAACCGATTTCATCGTCGGGGAAACCAGAGCAGGGACGTGGCAGCAGCGGCTTCAAGATTGTGATGGATCAACCATCTCCGTAGCCTAGCAATGTACTACTCCGGCAGTGGATTCAAGAACCCATCACGATGGTCAAGTCCGCCGCAATAGAATATAGAAGTGCTTCCAGTAAAAAGGCAATCTAATGGTGGCTGGTAACCTGGTACATTCATTCATTCATCCCATGACGAAAAATCCAGCGCTCCTTTTTTACGGCCTAGCTTGTCAATCGTCACGATAGACGAAGGCAAGTCTTGGTCTTGCAAGACTTTGTGGTCGATCGCTACACATCCCATAGCTTGGTACGCACGGCTCCTGCATGGTGTCGCTACCAGGTTCACATCAAAAGATGGCAGGGAGCTGGGTGGCATGCTGGGCGCTGGACAGGTGAATGCAGCCTCTTTCGCACACTTTCTTTTCAGGATTTTGTACTCTTTCTCTTTGGACCAAATGTCCGCATGGTTTACTTGATCGGGCTCTCCGGTCCATCTCCCACTATATAGTTGTCAACCGTCACCATTTCAGATAATAATAATAACTGTCAACCGTCGCATGATTCTCCCCGTGTCACCGGCTGTTACTTTTCTGTATCTTTGTTCCCTAGTTCTTCCAGTATTGTCACTCGTGACGGTAAAAACATGTCATCACTGGTGACGGTTAGGGATGCAGAGCGGCGCCTTCTGCCCCCTAGTCAAAATAAATCTAGTTAGAGATTATCGGCTTGCTCAGATTTAGTTCAGTTTGAACTAATCTTCAGCTTTTTTTTTGAGGGTTTAGCCAAACTTTATTCATCAAACGCCACATGGAGTTGGATACGGTTCGGATCATGGGGTTGGCCAAACCAAACATGGCGCCCCTGACCGAGATTAAGTACATATTTGACTAAACTATGTGCTTCAAAGTTGACAGCACGACTTTCGTAAATGAAAGAACAAGTAAAAGTTGAAGCTTGAAGCTTTATCTCCTTGATAATGGCCCCGTAGTCTTCCATGGCTCCCTTGTTGATGTCGCCGATGGCTTGTTTAGAATCAGAAGAAATGACAAGTTGATGGACGTTCAGGTCCGAAGCAAGAGCGAGAGCCTCTCTACATGCGATGACCTCCAAAGTAGCAGGGTCGTGGAGACCGTGGATTGACAGGGCTGAGCTCCCCAATTAGTTCCAGCCGCTATCCCGGCAGACTGCTACTGCCACTCCTCTTCGACCCGCTCGAACCCCGGCATCGACGTGTATCTTGCAGTGGCCATGTGGTAGGGCTTTTGGCCTTCTTGCTATAGTAGTGCGGGCAGCTGGGTTGGCCCGAACCTCTCTTCCTCCTTCCTGAATCATCTCTAGCTCCTGAATAAATCGGCCCACAAAAGAGTGTATAGCATGGGGGCTTTGGAAAACACCCTCATGGATGGCCTTTCTCCTAGCCGCCCAGATTGCCCATAGCGTGACCGCAAGTTTTACGAACAACGATGAGGTAATGACTGCATATGTGTGAATAACCATTGTTTCGCATTGGGTTCAGAGGTGGCTGCTATTTGCTATCCGAGTTCTTCATCAACTAGTGCCCACCTACACCTTGACATGGTGCAATCTACTAGAGAATGCTTCCATGAATCTGGCACACCACATATTTCGCACGCACTGGAGTTCGACATGTGCCTGTTGTTGGAAATATGCCCTAGAGGCAATAATAAAATGGTTATTATTATATTTCCTTGTTCATGATAATTGTCTATTGTTCATGCTATAATTGTGTTATCCGGAAATCGTAATACATGTGTGAATACATAGACCACAACATGTCCCTAGTGAGCCTCTAGTTGACTGGCTCGTTGATCAATAGATGGTTATGGTTTCCTGACCATGGACATTGGATGTCATTGATAACAGGATCACATCACTAGGAGAATGATGTGATGGACAAGACCCAATCCCAAGCATAGCGCAAGATCGTGTAGTTCGTCTGCTAAAACTTTTCTAATGTCAAGTATCTTTTCCTTAGACCATGAGATTGTGCAACTCCCGGATACTGTAGGAATACTTTGGGTGTGCCAAACGTCACAGCATAACTGGGTGACTATAAAGGTGCACTACGGGTATCTTCAAAAGTGTCTGTTGGGTTGGCATGAATCGAGACTGGGATTTGTCACTCCGTATGACGGAGAGGTATCTCTGGGCCCACTCGGTAAGACATCATCGTAATGAGCTCAATGTGACTAAGGGTTGGTCACGGGATGATGCTTACGGAATGAGTAAAGTGACTTGCCGGTAACGAGATTGAACGAGGTATTGGGATACCGACGATCGAATCTTGGGCAAGTAACGTACCGATTGATAAAGGGAATTGTATACGGGATTGCTTGAATCCTCGACATTGTGGTTCATCCGATGAGATCATCGTGGAACATGTGGGAGCCAACATGGGTATCCAGATCCCACTGTTGGTTATTGGCCGCAGAGTTGTCTCGGTCATGTTTGCATGGTTCCCGAACCCGTAGGGTCTACACACTTAAGGTTCGATGATGCTAGAGTTATTAGGAAGACTTGTATGTGATTACCGAATGTTGTTCAGAGTCCCGGATGAGATCCCGGACGTCACGAGGAGTTCCGGAATGGTCCGGAGGTGAAGATTTATATATAGGAAGTTGTCATACGGTCACCGGAAAGGTTCGGTGGCATATCGGTATTGTACCGGGGCCACCGAAGGGGTTCCGGGGGTCCACCGGGAGGGGCCACCTCTCTAGGAGGGCCTCATGTGCCGTAGAGGAAAGGGAACCAGCCCCAAGTGGGCTGGGCGCATCCCCCCTTGGGCCCATGCGCCTAGGGTGGGGGGTGGGGGAACCCTAGAGGGGGCGCCCCCCTTGCTTGGGGTGCAAGCCACCCCCTTGGCCGCCGCCGCCCTCTAGATCTCATCTAGAGGGGGCCGGCCCACTTCCTCCTTCCCCTATAAATAGAGGGGCAAGGGGAGGGCTGCACACCACATCAAAGGCGCAGCCCCTCCCCTCCCCAACACCTCTCCTCCTCCGTTAAGAACTTGGCAAAGCCCTGCCAGAGTACTGCCGCTCCACTACCACCACGCCGTCGTGTTGCTGTTGGAACTCTCTTCCTCAACCTCTCCCTCCTCCTTGCTGGATCAAGGCGTGGGAGACGTATCCATTCCGTACGTGTGTTGAACGCGAAGGTGCCGTCCGTTCGACGCTAGGATCATCGGTGATTTGGATCACGACGAGTACGACTCCATCAACCCCGTTCTCTTGAACGCTTCCGCTCGCGATCTACAAGGGTATGTAGATGCACTCCTCTCCCTCTCGTTGCTAGATGACTCCATAGATTGATCTTGGTGATGCGTAGAAAATTTTAAATTTCTGCTACGATCCCCAACAGTGGCATCATGAACTAGGTTTATGCGTAGTTTCTATGCACGAGTAGAACACAAGTTGTTGTGGGCATCGATTTTGTCAATTTACTTGCCGTTACTAGTCTTATCTTGATTCGGCGGCATCGTGGGATGAAGCGGCCCGGATTGACCTTACACGTACGCTTACGTGAGACTGGTTCCACCGACTGACATGCACTAGTTGCATAAGGTGGCTAGCGGGTGTCTGTCTCTCCCACTTTAGTCGGATCGGATTCGATGAAAAGGGTCCTTATGAAGGGTAAATAGAAATTGGCATATCACGTTGTGGTTTTGGCGTAGGTAAGAAACGTTCTTCCTAAAAACCTATAGCAGCCACGTAAAACTTGCAACAACAATTAGAGGACGTCTAACTTGTTTTTGTAGCATATGCCGTGTGATGTGATATGGCCAAAAGGATGTGATGAATGATATATGTGATGTATGAGATTGATCATGTTCTTGTAATAGGAATCACGACTTGCATGTCGATGAGTATGACAACCGGCAGGAGCCATAGGAGTTGTCTTAATTTATTTATGACCTGCGTGTCAACATAAACGTCATGTAATTACTTTACTTTATCGCTAACCGTTAGCCATAGTAGTAGAAGTAATAGTTGGCGAGACAACTTCATGAAGACACGATGATGGAGATCATGAT